GCGATGATAACTTCCGCACTTAAATCATTTTGCAAACGTCCATTTTTCATTATGCATGTCATTATCCTCGTTACATCGAATCATGCATGATGAGTTGTCTTCATTACTTGAAGAGGATCTCCACAAGTAGAACCTGCCATGTGCATTTGCATTCCAAAAGCAAATTATTTATATGCACATCTTCAGGGGGAGCCTTTTGCAACTTACGAAGACAATACCTCATCCTTTACAATTTCACATATTTATATCCCCGTTGAAAACTTCAACCAGTTTGTCATCAATCACCAAAAAGGGGGAGATTGTAAGTGCATCTAGTGCCACCCCTAGTTTGGTTTTGGAGTATTGACGACAAACGTGGTTGAGGGACTAATGTGTTTGTGAGAATTGCAGGATAACACAGGTAGTAGTCCCTCCTTGATTCGGTTTACCTACCGGAGATGACCCCTAAAAATGTATGAAGACATTGAAGATAATGGTGGTACGTGAAGATATTCACATTGAAGACTATGACAGAAGAAGACATTGAGTGAAGACTATGGAGCGCGAAGACTTAGTAGTTTCGTTGTTTCTTTTCTTCTTTGTTGAGTCATAGGAACCACCGCACTGTTAAGTGGGGTCCAAGTGAACAAAGTCAGAGTGACTGAAGTGATGCTCAACCAAAATCCTATGTCTTCGAGTGAAGACAATGAGAGCAAATCTTATCCAGAGTCGGATAAGTCAGCTTTACTTGTAGCCCAATTCAAGTTGTCGCGTGTGTTTGAAATCTGACCGTTGTGACACGTGTCAGTTCCTTAGTGACCCAGGGTCATTTCGGACAAATCAGGTTGGGTTGCCTAGTGGCTATAAATAGCCCACCCCCTACACCATAAATTGGTGGCTGCTCAGAGTTAGTGCACGGCTTTTGTCGTTGAGAGCAACCCACCTCCGAAGAGTTTGAGAGAGAAATCCTTGTGAGGACAAAGCCCAAAACACCCAGAGCCCAAAGAGTGTTTGGCATCACTGAAGTCTTTCTGTCCGCGTGATCTGAAGACTTGTTACACTTGAGGACTGTGAATCCTCCAGCCGGTTAGGCGTCGCGTTCTGAGCATCCAAGAGTAAACGTGGATTGCCGATGAACGAAGTCTGTTAAGGTTTGGAAGTCTACCTTGAAGACTTACCCGAGTGATTGGGCGGGGACTATGTGTCCTTAGCTCAAGGGGAATAAGGTGAAGACACGGTCTTTTGAGTTCAAATCTCAGCCTCCCTAACCAGACGTACAGTTGTCACAGCAACTGGAACTGGTCGAACAAATCCTTGTCTTCACAACGCACTGGTTCTATCTCTTACTCTCCTTACTTACAGTTTGTCTTTGTGAAGTCATTGCCTGATTGCTTTGCCTGTTTGACTTCACTATGTGACTACTTGTTCTGATTGGCTTCATACTATCTTCCATCCTGATCCTACTACCTAGCTGTTATCTGTCATCATGCTTTAGCTTCATACTTGTTTGACTATGGCTTGTCTAGTGTAGTTCATCTTCCGCTGCATGTTTATAGGTCCAGTTTTCATGTTTGTCTTCGAAACTTTCATGTTTTGAAGACTTTCATAAAAATCGCCTATTCACCCCCCCTCTAGTCGATAACTAGCACTTTCATGTTCCGGCATCCCCATGATGTAGTCACCTATGTCTGGCCAGACGATGATGGATGTTGTCACACCGAGAGGGCACTAAACATATCTCTCCATCATCGAAGGAGCAAATCTCCCTTGTCAAACTTTTTGATGAACCTGTAACTTGTAGTTATGATAACCGTGTTACAAGTGACGTTTGAGCAACCCCAAAGTCCATCGTACGATAATAATGACTACGGTACTCTCATGGTGTAAGGATAAAAATCACATGTTAACACTCCGTGTTATTACAATTCATTACACACGATATTATCCCAATTCATATAAAACAAGTTTGGGTCGATTCAATATGATCGTTCTTCCAATGTCATAATCTCAATGTTGTTTTAGAACTATCGTTACACGTAACAATACCCAAAGAGCCGGAAAACGTGATCACCAACAACACTTGAGCTAGTCTTAGAGGTGAGACTATGAACCTTTATTTTATCCGTTTATCATTTCACACATGCATATGAAATTTCCACTGAACCGCATATTTCAGGATCATAGAAGTTATAGCATGAAATATAGACACTTATTCATGAATATGGAAATATAATAATACAATATTATCGCCTCTAGGGCAAATTTCCAACAGCCACGAGGACGACGACGAGCTGCATCTCGGATGAGTCCCCGATGCTACAACCGACAAGGCGGCAAGCTAGAACCATCACGGCAACGAACTAGAAATGATGGCGGCAAATGCTACAATCCACATATAGTGAGCTGGAACGGGAGACCCGATGTTGCAACCATCACGACGATGAGCCGAAACTGAATGCAACCAGACGCGGCGAGCAAGCAACCGTGGTGGGGCGACGATGCCAAGCATCGGCGAGCGGTGGTTCCACCGGTGGCAATTTCGGCCATGAGCGCGCTGGGTGGTAATTTTTTGCGAGCGGAACGACGCTCTGGCGGTGCCGGGCTATGAAGGGGAGATTGGGGAACACCTGCTTCGTGTTGACTCTTTTTTGTTACGGGGGACCACTGATCCAACGGTCGTTACACACTCAATCATGTGGATGTGCTGCAACCGACCGAGTTTTCGGTCGCTGACCGGCGCCTAGCGCCGACCCATGTATGGGGCGGGACACACCCTGCTATATTCATTTATTTTTTCACTTCTTTTTTTGTTTAAAATAATTCAGGACTTTAAGAAAGTTCAAAACCTGAAAAACTTGCGTATTTCAAAACAAATGTTTCAAGAATTGATAAAATATTCGTGAATTCAAAAAAATTCATGTTTTTAAAAATGTTCAGGAAATCATATAACATCGTGGATTTGAAAAATGTTCGAAATTTCAAAAAAAATGTATAGAAAATCAAAAAATGTTCATGATTTTAAAAGGAGTTCACGTATTAAAAAAAGGTCATGAATTAGAAAAAAATCACGAATTAAAAAACTATTCATAAATTTTTCAACAATGTTCACAAATTTAAAAAATATTCATGAATTTTAAAAATTCTTCCCAAGTTTCAAAAACTATATTATTAAGTCTAAAATGGTTAGCCGATTCAAAAAATATTCATGAATTTAAAAATTGGTCCCGAAATAAAAAAGTTGTCAGTTGAAAATTAATCAAATAAAAAAATATTCACAACTTTGAAAAATATATTGATAATTTCAAAGAACGTTTTGAATTTGAAAAAAATCATTATTTCAAAAATTATTTACAATTTTAGTGTTTGCAAATTTATAAATAATGTTGGCGAATTAAAAAATAATCATGATTTCACAAAAAGTTCATTATTTCAAAAACAGAATCACGGTTTGAAGCAATGTTCATAATTTCAAAAAAATCATGAATTTTAAAGATGCCTCAAAAAATAGAAAAGGGAATAAAAAAGAAAAGGGGAAGAAAAGAGGAAAATTAAATCAAAAGAAAAAACATGAAAAAAAGAAAATCAACAAAGAAAGAAAATGAAAAAAGAAAGGGAAGAATGAAAATGAAAAAATATACAAAGAAAACACGCTCACACAAAAAAAAACGGTTCATTGGACGCCCAAAAGTATGCAACGCGGAGCGGTGTTTGAGCGTTTGGTCGCTATCATGCGAGGCAATAGGCCGCTACGCCTAAAGGGCGCATGTGATTGGCCTAGCATAGACTTGGGCATGGACAACCCGGCCCAAAAGCCCGACATCTGAACCGGGCTCGGGTTTAGCTTTCCCGCCTGAAAGCCAACACAAAAGCTTGAAAATAAGCCCGAACATGGCATAAATCATTATTTTACTAGCAAGATGCACGTGCATTGCACGGAACATCAAGGTGCATTTTTTTTTCAAAACATGTTTTGTGATTGACCCATGCGGGAGTAATCCCATGTGTAAAAACTAATGATATCTCGAGAAAGAGGTGAGATAAGGTGAGGAGGAGACATGGGGATGGACGATGCTGGCAGCGGCAACCATTCCAGATTGTTCCAGAGGCTTCATTTTTTTTAGTTGCACAACAATGAGGTTGTGGGAGATAAGGATGAACGAGGGGAGGCCTTATTTGCAAATGTGAAGAGAGGTGCGAGTATCTTTTTGTAAAATTACCATAGTTTGCTTTCTATCCGTCAGATATAGATCGAACAGTCTATATTGGAAGATGGCAGGCACACCATCATCACCAACTCATTTTTTTATAAGAGTAGAGATTAGAAATATAGGTACAATATATATTTTAAATACCCAAAATCATTATTTTAATAAAAAAGTGCACTATTCTTGTGTTTTGGGCCAGGCTAGGCCGAGCTCGGGCTTGTGATTTTGAGGGCGGAACCAAGCCCGACCCGGAGAATGCCTAGGTTTAGCCTAGCGACATCAGTCATCATGCTAATGTCACTTACATTTTTCTCCTCTTTTTTTTATTTTCATCTTATTTTATATGCATATACGATTATTTTAAAAACATAAATTTAGTTTAGAAATTCAAAACCATGAATTTGAAAAAATGTTAACATAGTATACAATTTGTTTGCTCGGTTCTTAGAAGATGTGAATAATTAAAAAAAATTATTCGTGACAATGAAAAAATGTTTCTTTCTTTCAAAAAATATATGCCCAATTTTTTGAAACTGTTTATTCAATGTAAAATAAATAGATTAGAAATAGCCTTTGATTTGCTGATCCAACTGAAAGCGCAGTAGCGCCAACGACGTCAAAAAAAAACGCGCCAACTGTTGTTCCGTCGAGCAACGGATCCAGGAATCAGATTTCGTTTTTGCTTCGATTAGATTTAAAGGGGACGACGCACCGGCGGGTTCGCAACCCTAGTTTTCGATCTGATCTTTCCCCGATCTTCGCCGGCCATCTTCCCAACTTCCCCCCCATCTCGAGATTGCGCGCACTCCGGCGAACATGGCAGCGATCATGGCGGGGCGCGGGCAGGGGCTGGTGCAAGATTTCGATTTCTTCGTGGTGGTCGAGAAGCCCTCGTACTTCGATCAGTGGATCAATCTGAGAGTCCCCTTCCAGGCGGCGCTCGGTGGCGGAGGGCGGGTCAACCTGCAGGAAGCGGTCCGGGCGGCGGGGCTGGACTGGGAGGGCCGCCTGCACTGCGGGCTGGATGACGCGCGCAACACCGCGCGGCTGCTTGCTGAGCTCATGCGGCGCGGGGGTCAAGATCCCCATCACCGGCTCGCTGGCGCCGCCGCCGCCGATGCAGAAGCAGCCGGCTCGCACAAGCCCTTGCGGTGGCTCACCGGCGCTGGCGTCGGCGCCGCCGCTGATCCAGCAGCAGCCGCCTCGCACAGGCCCTTTCGGTGGCTCGTTTGCGCTGGTGCCGGCGCCGATCCAGCAGCAGCTGCTGCAGCCTCACATGATCAGCCCCTGCGGTGGGCCTCCTCTGCGACGTGCTTGTGCTACTGCGGGCTGGCGAGCAGAGGAGGTGTGATGCAGGGGAAGGGCTTCTCGGGATGCGCTAACTGGTCGCCGGCCATGGGACCCGTGTCCCCCTACTTCGCCTGGAGCAACTGAATGAGTGACCCACGGCATGAGACTGAGATTCAGAATCCAGTGTGGCTCAGTTGTTAGTGTTAATCGTCCTAGCCATCAGAATCAGAGTTAGTCTAGGTGTAAATTTGGTCATTGAAATCGAACTTGACCAATAGGGCTATTCTTGATGTAATCGGTGTCTGAATTAGCATTATCAATAAAAATTTCATTTTAGTTATGTAATCGGTGTCTGATTCTACTATACTCATGTGATTGTTCACTGCAATTCGTGTCTGAATTATTATTATCAATACAAATTTCGTTTTAATTATATTACTATTAATAGAAGATTCCTTTTTCTCTGAATTTCTTCAGTATTGAGCAACAGGGCAACGGTTGACTTGTAAGTGAAATTGATAAATTTCTGATGAAGGCTGCGGAATTGATAAATTGCTGATGAAGGCTACAATTCCAATCGACAACGTAAACTGTAAGTCGCCATCCGATGAAGCCCCCTGCTCGTCCAAAAGCTCATCCATCACGTCGGCCAAAGATGCGGCGACGACGATCGATGCCAAGGAGAGGGATGCGGTGAACAAGGGAATGTTACAACTTGCCATCTTGCCGCATATCATCATCATATAGACAACCTTATATCGAGTAAATAGCACAGAAATACCACAATTGGGGCATCGGAAGCAGATTGGTACCAAGATTGATAATTTTTACGTATCAGTACCAACTTTGAGGCGAGGCATTGCAAAAGAGACTAAAACTGCAGTTTATACGTATTGACAGGGAATCTGACTGCAGAAAACTCCCTTGCTTTGTGCGTAATCATGTAAATGCCCAATTATTTCGGGGAAAAAGCTCCTACGAGAGGCTTTTTTCCGTTCGTAATTTACACCACGGATTCGGACTCGTTTGCAAATTTTCGTCGGTTTGAACAAGTAAATAAAACGAACAATAAAAGAATCCCGCGCAGGATTCGAACCGGGGACCAGCGGTACAGCAGAGCAGCGGGCTAGCCACCCCGCCACGGCTGCGCTCCCTACAAGAAGCAGGCTCGACTACTTTTATACTAGATATGGGCAGGCTGGGCCGGCCCACCGAGGCCTGCATTGTTTTTTCCTTTCGCACTTACCTGGCGTGTTGGGTCTGATTCGTTGCCCAGATTTCTTTACGTTTCATTTCTCTTACTTATTATGCTTTATTTATTATTATGGTTTTGGTTTATTTTTAGGTTTTTCTTTCTTATTTTTTCATTCGCTAGGTTGGTTTATCTCCTGGATTTTTAACATATTTACTGAACATTATTTATGATGGGTTTTAGTATATGATGAACAGTGAACATTTATTTCATGTAATGAACTTTTGGTAATATACATTGAACATGTTTTCAATGCCAATTTAACATTTTTGTAATATATGTTGAATTTGTTTCTTAAGATATGATGGCATTTTGCATAATGCGCGGTGAAATTTTCGTAATTTATGGTGAACATTTTCTTAATACACGATAAGTTTCAAGAATATTATGATTACACAATTTCTTAATTTATAGTGAACATTTTTAATGCACGATGAACTTTTCTTACAAACAGTGAACACTTTTCGAATAATATGAACGTTGAACATATTTTGAATGCAAATGGAATATTTTTGTAATATATGTTGAAATATTTTCTTAAGATATGATGAAAACTTTACTTAATGCACGGTGATTTTTTTATAATTTATTGTGAGCATTTTCTTAATACACGATGACTTTCAAGAGCATTATGGTGAACATTTTCTTAATACATGGTGAATTATTTGTATTTCAAGAAATGTTCAACATGGGTTAAAAACTTATTGTGTAAATCATTCTTGCATTTCAAGAAACACGTCGATTTTTTTAATAAAATTTGAACAGTTTTAATGCATTTCGGAGATTTATTATGATTACAAATTTATATTTAATACATGTTGTCAAATTTCTAATTAACTGTGCATTTTAAATAATAAAATATATATGTATTAATATCATGAATAAAAAATATATATGGGCCGTGCCTGTGTTCTAGTCTGGTGCTTGACACTCAATAATACTAATATGTAATCGCAAAATATATATGTATTAATATCATGATTAAAAAAACAGTAACCCAGCGCGCAGCCACGCTGGGCCAACCGCCGGCCCAACGTCTTCAGGATAGTATAAAGAACATCTTGCCTCTTTTACATCGTGAGCGACCGCTAGCCGTGGCGGGGTGGCTAGCCCGCTGCTCTGCTGTACCGCAGGTGCCCGGTTCGAATCCTGGGCAGGATTCTTTTCTTCTTCGTTTTATTTACTTGTTCAAACCGGCGCAAATTTGCAAACTAGTCCGAATCCGTGGTGAAAATTATGAACGGAAAAAAAGCCTCTCATAGGAGCCTTTTTCCCCGAAATAATTGGGCATTTACGTGATTACGCACAAAGCAAGGGAGTTTTCTGCAAAAAACTTGCCACGTCAGCACCCGACAGGCGGGCCCAACCAGTCAGTTTCTCTGTCAATACGTATAAACAGCAGTTTTAGCCTATTTTGCAACGCCTTGCCCCAAAGTTGGTACTGACACGTAAAAATTACCAATCTTGGTACCAATCTGCTTCCAATGCCCCAATTGTGGTACTTTTGTGCAATTTACTCCCTTATATCAAGATTGACAAATAAAACAGCCAAGTGTAGATTTCTGAGATAAGAGCTAACACAAATCATTTGCTCCAACACAAATGCCAACGGTTGTCAAGCTCTTACTCCCTCCGTTCCAAAATATTCCAAAATAAATGACCCAATTTTGTACCAACTTTAATATAAAGTTAGTACAAAGTTGGGTCATCTATTTTGAAACGGAGAGAGTACATAAACGCCACACATTTTCAGTCATAAAATGAAAACTTGGTTACAAGCACACCACAACCGTTGTTGCTGGCCAATCAAAGCCTACCTTCTACAGCCAGCAGGTAGCATCACAGCCAAACACAAAGGAAGGACTAACCAGTAACCATGGTTTGGGTGAGTCGGTTACAAGGTGCTCAAAGACTAGCAAAATCTACTGCCTACGGAGGGGAACAAGCTACTCTGTGCTACCTAGCCCGTGGTTTGTACTGCAAGGGCTATATCAACCACCTAGAGAAGTTGTCGCAGACCACCTGAAGTGCGCCTTCAGGCCAATAAAACCAAGGTTGTTGTTAGCATCACACCGGCTGATGTGAATGTGCATAGGAATTTCACTTTGTTGTGTTGATGTGTTTCCTGATCATGTTGAAGGTCTCCATAACCTGTGAAAGCAAGACTACAATAAGTACCCGGTAGAAACATCAAAATCATAATTTGTAAGGCTGCAAGAAAATCATGCTGTCCCAATGGATGCCAGCAATTCCTAGCACACTAGCATGATATGGAGCAATAGGTACTCCTAGACGCAGGTGCCCGTGGGACCGGCATGGTGTACGCATGAACAACACCGGTCCATGGGTTGTACCCGCCGGCCCACGGAGGAGGCGCCTGGGGCTGCTGCAGCTGACGAGGAGGGCCCGCGGCCTGTGGCTGCTGCTGGCCGCCGCGCCTGCCTCCGCGGCGCCGATCGGCGGGTGGCGCGGGAGGGGCGGGGTGCTGCGGCTGTGGGTAGGGCGCCGGGTGGCGCTGCTGAAGGCGCAGCCGGGGCGACGGGTGGCGGTGGTGGCCCGCCGCGGGTGGTGCCGACGCTGAGGGCAGTGTGGATGGCCCTCGCCTTGACCTGCTTCATCCGCCGCTCCTCCAGCCGGAGGTAAGCAACGAACTTGGCGAAGCAGAGCTCGGGGATGAGGGTGAGGTTCGCCGCGGCGTTGCCGAAGTCCTCGTTGAGGCTGGCGGTGAGCGTGCTGAGGAGGAGATCATCGTCAATCTTTGCAGCAATATCGCGGAGCTCGTCAGCGAGAGTCTTGACAATAGTCGTTGACAGAGGAGTTGTCCTGGTGGCATCCAAAAAACTCTTGCTACAAAAAACACGATGTTGAAGACGATTGTCGGTGACGAGCCAGTTCAGCTTGGTCCACACGGCGTGGGTGTCATCATCGTCTTGCATGACCGTCTAAAACAGGTCTGGCGAGATGGTGAGGAAGAACCACCGGATGAGCGTGGCGTCGATGGTGGATCAGTCATGGAACTCGAGCACGAGGCTGGAGTCGACGGAGCTGTCCACATGTTCGAGGAGGTGGTACTCCCGGAACACGAGGGAGAAGTACGTCTTCCACACGTAGAATGAGGAGTCCATCTGGGAGAGACGAACCGGAACCCGCTCGTAGATGTTGAGGTTGCGGATGTCGGTGTACGGGTTGGAGGGGTTGGAGAAGCCGATCGAGGTGACGGATGACATGGCGGTGGAGTGGTGGTGCGGCTAGGGCTCGGGTTAGGGTTTGGTGGTGGCGGCTAGGGAGAGGTGCAGCCGCAGCGTGGGGCTGGGTTGCGGCGGCGGCTAAGGGAAGCTGTGGCGACGAGTGTGGATGGCAGCGGCAGCGCTATGGTTAGGCGGCTGCGGGTGTCGCGGCGACGGCAAAAGGCGGTGGCGGCGAGAGCAGCAGGAGGGAGTAGCGCGGCAGGGGGAGAAGGTAGCGGCGGCGGCGATCGTGATGAGAAGGTGCGGTGCAGCGGCGAGGGGGAGAAGGTAGCGGCGGCGGCGATCGTGATGAGAAGGCGTGGTGCGGCGGTGGCGGCTGGGGCGGCGGCGGCGCAAAGGAGGCGCGTGGCGGCAGTGGCGGAGCGGAAGCGAGGGTTGTGACCTAAAAAAATGATACCATGTATGTTGTTGGAATTGCACGATGTATTACTGAGGTGCAATCGCACATATATATGATGTACAATGATAGACCACGACCTCAACTATACAAGAAAAACTAGGAGGTGGGCCCAATATACAATATGCACAACACATATACTCAACAGGTTGGATCGTGATCGGGTTGCGAAGAGTATGACTACATCAACCGCGTTGATAAATACTTCCGCTTAGCGATCTACAAGAGTATGTAGATGCTCTCCCCC